GACAAAAGCATCAGTCCTTCTGAGGCTCTTCTATAGAAAGACCTCTTGGCTGACAAAGGTAGAATGAACTAGGTTAAAGAGCCATTGTAGCTCTGAAGCTCATTATTCTACCAAGCTTTGCAAATTAACTATAATCTCAAATTAGGAAATAGACTTTCTTAATTTAAAGGTGTCTTATACTTCAAGTAATCGTAGAATTTTTTAAGAATGAAACAAGTATGCCACAATGTATGTTAACCTACTGATAATCTCCCACAGAGGAAATACTTTAACTTCATCCAAATGAAATGGATCTCCTTGTCATCCACCTCCTCCTCCTCCTTCAGGCCCCTGTCGCTCCCCTTCCCTCCCTCTCTCACCCCTCCCTCCCTCCCTTTCTGTGGGAAAGGATCTTGTGTATCCTGGCTGGTCTCAAACCTGCTATCTACTTGAGGATGATTTTAAACTTCTTGTCTTCCTACCTTTTCTTCTTGAGTACTGGATTACACCACCATGTCCCGTTTAGATGTTGCTAAGGATTGAACACAGAGCTTTATGCAAACCCTCCTTTAAACAAAACAAGACGGAGTCTCACTACATATCCCAAGATTGCCTTGAACTCACTGTTTCCAAGGCTGGCCTCAAACTCAGGATCTTCTTGCCTCTGCCTCTTGAGTGAGGGATTATATCACATCTGGCTTTATTCTTGTTCTTGATGGAGGGTGGGTCAAATTACTACAACATTTAGGTTCAGTGTACAAATTTTGTTCTCAGGCCTCTAAACACTCTCCAGATAAACATCAGGAGAAGTTTCTTTCTTAGGCTAGTTTGTGTGACACTTAAAAAAAAAAAGCATTGGGAGAAGGAAGTTGACATTTTTAATAGGATTTGAGGGTACTTGAGAAAATGGTACATAATTGCTTAAATCAAAGTCCTCTTATGGGGAGAAATAAGATAATCTATAGACATACCATTTAGGAAAAAAATCATGTGCATAGTAGCTGGTCTCAAGAATTCATCCAGGTTTTGTGGCACATGTATGTAACGACAGTACTTAGGACGTAGGAGGATCACAAGTACAAAACTAGCCTGGGCTACAAACAAGACCCTGTCTCAAAACGAAAAACAAAAAAACAAAAACACCAATGGCTGAGAATGTAGCTCAGTGGTAGAGTGCTCGTCTGGCATGTACAAGGTCCTGTACTCCATCTTCAGCATGGGAAAAAGAAAAAAAGTATGGAATAGAACGCAACAGAAACAACACAACCTAGGTCTCCTTTTCTACTAGAGAATGAGAAAAGGAAAGACATTAGATTATATCACTTACAAGGGAAAAAAAAGGCACATTCCTTAGCCAAAGTCTGTGAATCACTGCATATAGAGAGGGGAGAGACAAAAGGCCTGGCCTCTACCTGGAGCAGCTTCCCTAAGGGCCCCTTCCCTAAGTTGTGATGTGCATACTGCTGCATAATGCCCATGTTGTTTGATATGACAGGGGCTTTCGTCTCTGCCTGAAAACACATTTTCTGAATAGCACTGAGGGTACAAACTTAAAGGAAATCTGAAGTTGTGCTCTTGTCCAAGGTCCTTTGTTTTGTTTTCAAACAGCTCTGGATAGGCGTCCTGGACAACCAGCTAAGTTCTTTGTGTCTAACCTTATGACCTTGGTTTTGAAAAGGTGCTCTGGTGAGGAACTGTTAACTAGGGAGCTCAAATTTTCAGAGGAAATAAAATAATGAAATAAAATTTAAAGTTTAAATCTGAAATCCAAGATGGGAAAAACAACCCCAAATGTCCTACTTCTTAGTGAATTATTTCCTTTCCCTATCATCCTTTTGATCCTTCTCTTTGTTTTGCTTTCTGCCAGCAGGAACATTTTAACCATATGTGTCCCAAAAGATAAAAAAAAAAAAAGGTTACATATAACAGTCAAAGGCCAACTAGAATCTCCTACTACTACGAAGGAAGGGGCTTGCAGAAGAAAAAAACCAAACTCTAGTACTGGATTTAGGAACAGAGAAACTGCAGTCAATGCTTCTTTGGTTAAGACAGTCCCTCCCCTAAGCAAATACTTCAGTGAGACTAGAACCTTCACAGTGATTGTGTTAAGAGTTCCATGAGCTCGTCTTTGAGTGTTTTAAATCCAGCCGTTATCGCTTTTTCCTTCTCTCTTCTACCTTCGTAAACACAAGCGAAGCGAAGCGACAGCACATCTTTAGTTCTCTCTGCTCTCTGGGTAGCTTACAGGTAATCAGATTGTGAAAAAAAAAAAAAGAAAAAGACGGGAGAAAGACAGTGAGTAAAACAGAAAGCAGCAGTGTTCTGCAGTTGTTTGACTTTGGCAACAGGGCTATTACAGGTTTGCACGTGTGTGCCTGCATATGTGCATGTGTGTGTTAAAAAGCATTGATGCATCGAAGATTTATTCATTGAACAGGCTGATTTATTTAACAGACTTGACATATGTCAAATTCTGCCATGTGCTTATATAATTGTTACCCATTTATCAGAGCTGTAATTTAGGCAAATATTTGTTTGAAAAGTATCTTCTTTAAATGGCTTTCTCTGGCCTGCTGCACAATCATTCTGTGGTTCTTTTTAATTATGTTAATAATAGCTATTTGGTTGGAGTCTGTGAAATCTAATCTTTCCCCCAAACTCTTCAGCTTTTTCAAGTAATTACTTTCAAGTTAAAATCACACTACAGGAAAAATTTAAATATGCACACTATCCTTTTATGTTTTGATATTTTGAATGTGTGGTCCTCAAAAAAAGCAGTGTCTTGACGTTGTTAAAATCACAGATCTGATACTGTTAATGTAAAAAACTACCTAAAGGGACAAAAGGGTATGATTTTTGTGAGCTTATTTCTGTGGGGTATGGGGGATATGGGACAGTAAAAATAGCCAAGGGCAGGGGAACCTACAAAAAGAATTAAGTAGAAAAAGACAAAGTAAATGAAATCAAATATCAAGTCTTACAAATTTGTTAAATCACCCTACCCTATTTGAACACACAAAAAGTCTATCTTTTCAACTCCAATGCATGCAATCTATCTAGGTTTAGGTTCTGTGGGAGGTAAAATTGTGCAAAGTATTTCCAAGAAACAAACTGTCTAATCACTAGGTGCTGGGGCTGCTTTGAATTTCTTCATTGTGAATATGTTACTTACAAAAAATAAGAGGTTTGTTTTGACCTCTCCGGTCCAGGAGTGTGGAGACTACATAAGAAATAAGGGTGGGAGAGAAGGGAAATCCCACCACCACACAAGGAAATTTTTGACCTAGTAAGCAAATACGCTTTTGTTGTTAGTGCTGGGTAAAATGTACAAGTCTTCCAGAAATTAGAGACTGTAATAAAAATGTACCAGCCCAAATTTAAATTGCTCACTAGACAGATGGTTAATTATATTCACAGCCACATATTTCACTGGGATAGAGTTTCAGACACTCAGCCAGTTTTATTTGATTAGCCGGTTTTCTAGTTAATATGGAAAATGACAGTTACTTAGGGCTTTTTTGTTTCTTTCTAAAAATATATTTTCAATAAGTGTAAATTCTCCTCGGCCATGAGAACGTCACTGCTGTAAATAAAATGTTTGGTCATGCTACCCATATGTAAAGATGTGCGATTCACCCCGCAAGTCCCAAATGGTCTCTTACAGTTCCGAGAAAACCATTAGAGCACCTTTTATTCACTAAGCAAAATATTCCAGGAACTGTTAGCACACTCTGCTTCTCCAACTAAAACAGTTTTTCAAAAAACCAGCGCTAAAGTATTTTATAGATGTAAAAAAAAAAAAGTCCTGCCAACCCCACACACTATTGTGTATTCTCAGACAAATCTAGAAAATGGAACGTTAAAAAAGGCCACACAGCTAAGTGTGCTGTTGTGCCCAGAATTCAACATGTTAGTAGCCAAAGCCCAGAAGCAAAATATGAGACTCAGTCATTTCAAAATGCTACCAGAAGCTAGACAAAAATCTGGAGTGCTGGTATCGAAATGAGGATCTCAACTGATTTTGTTTTTTTTTTTTTTTTTTAACTTCGAAAAAGACTAAAAGCCTGGCGCTGGTGGTTCGGTCCCTCACGAACCAGACAGGGGCAGTCATGCTGAAACCCCTGGATTCCTCAGCTGAACCGCGCGGTCTGCACACTTTCCGGGAGCGGGGCCGCCCCACGGCCTCCCGGGCGCCGGCTGGCGGGGACCGAGCTACAGCGTGCCTGCAGGCACGGCAGCCAGGAGCTCCCGAAGCCGCGGAGAAAAGCGTCCATCCGAGCGCCCGGGAGAGCGGGAAGGGGCAGCGGGCCAATTTCCGCAAAGGTGACAAGCTGGGCGAGGCTCGCTCGGGTCCCTAACTTCTCCTCGCCGCCGGCGGGCGGCTCCGGCCGGGTGTTGCGGGTCGCCGTGGCGCTGCTGCACGGTGACCAGAGGCGCCCTGAGCGCGCGGGAGCGCCGGCCGCGGGGAGGCGTCGGCACCCGGGCTTCGCACCTCTGCGGCTTCGGCCGGGACGCCAGCCGAGGCCGCCGCGTGGCTTTTCCCGCTCGCTCCGAAGCGTGCCTCGGCCGTGCCGGGCTCCCCGGTCGGGGCTAGCCCAGGGTCACCGAGCCGAAGGGAGGTGGCACTCGGCTGGCTCCTGCTGCCCTGCGGCGTGCGTGTGAGCGGCGGCTCCGACCCGCTCCCTTCCCCTCCCCCTTCCCCGGCGGCGGCGGCGGCGGCGGCTGCACACAGGCCTTTCCTAGATTGCAGCTTGGCGGGTCGAGCCGGGCTCCCTCGCCCTGGCGGCCTCGCTCCCTCGCGCACACAGACACCACACGCACGCCATTCGCACACAGACCTCCTCCCCGCTGGCTTCCCTTCCCCGGCTTCTCGCTCGGCTCTCCTTCAGTTCCTCGCACCCCCCACCCCCTCCAGCTGCCGCCTCCCCGCGCCGGCCTGGGAGCTAGCGAGAAGGCCGGGGGGGGGGGGGTGTGGAAGTGGGGGGGGGGGGTGCAAGCTGGATGGCAGCGCTCACACTCACCTCACAGGCCGCCTCCCCGAGGCGCACGTCGCTGGCGGGTCCGGCAGCCGGCGTCCCGAGCTGGGGCGGCTGCAGTCAAGGCTGGGCTGCCGCCGCCGTCGCTGCTGCAGCTGTTCGCGCTGCCGCCGCTGCTGCCGCTCACTGCTGCCGCCGCCGCCGCCGCCTCTGCTCCATGCGCGGGGCCCGCCAGGTGGACGCGCCTCGCTCCGCTCGCTCACTCAGGTTCCGCCGCCGCCGCCGCCGCCGCCGTCGCCGTCGCCGCACTAGATGGAGTCAGAGCTGTCGGGCTCGGGCGCGGGAAGTCAGAGCCTCCGCGGCCGCCCACCGGCTCCCGGGCCAGCGCTCCTCTCACCGCGCCGCTCGCCCGCTTGCTCGCCCGCTTGCTCGCCCGCTCGCTCGCCCGCTCGCCTGCCTGCTCCGCGGGCTGCACGCGCGGCGCCTGGAGCCGGCTCTGCGCGGCGGCGGCTGCGGCCGTCCGCGACCCGACCGGGAGAGGCGGAGGGCGGCTGCGACTGCCGCTAGCGCTGGGAACGCTACTGCTAGATGCTGCCACTGCCGCTACTGCCACTGCTGTGGCGGTGGCGGCGGCAGCGGCTGCTGATGCTACTGGTTTTCCTTCCCGGGTTCTCCCCCTGCCTCGGCCCCCTCCTCCCCCCCCCTTTTCTCCTCCTCCTCTTCCTCCTCCTCCTCCTCCTCCTCCTCCTCCTCCTCCTCCTCCTCCTCCTCCTCCCTGGGCTGCTTGGCTCAGAGCCTCTGCGGGCGCTGCCTGCTCCCCTCTGCTTCCAGAGCTGCCTCTGCCCATTCAGAAAGGTGCCCAGAGTGGGACTGCCTGGGCTGCCACCATCGTTATTGCCCCTGCCATTGTTTCCTCCAACACGGCTGTTCTTGTTGGACGCGTTCCCCTCCCTACCCTCCTTCCCCACCACAGCCCTCCCTTTGCTGCTTGTTCTCTCCTTACCCTCACTGCGGTCCCTTCCTCATGTGCCCCCCCTCCCACCCTGTCCGTCTGTCCCTCCTTGCCGTCCCCTCCAACGTCCGGGAGCGCGCACTGCGCGGCCACCTGTCATAAAGGGCGCGCACCCCCCTTCCCCACCCCCACCCCGCCCCCCACTCACATTCTCGCAGCCCGCCCAGTCCACCGCGCCACTGGCTTGTTCTTCCCCTGGCAGACACGCAGCCGGACACCACTCTCCCACGCCTCTGAGGGCAGTTATGTTGTTCAGAGAGGGGCGCTCTGAAGTTTCAGGAAGAATATCTGAATGGCTCCATGCGTTAAGCATTTATCCATCCAACCTACCCTTAACTTCAGGGCCCAAGCCCCGGGAAGGTGGATTGTGCCGGGAGGGTTGGAACAAGGGAGAGAATTGGAGAGGGATGAATTTTTTAGGAAATGAAAGAGAGAAAAAGGGAATATGAATATGGCCGGGAAGGAAATGGGATCTGACTGCTGTCACTGGAAAATTCCTTAGGTGGTCATTTCCCTTCTGACGTTCTGGGAGCCCAACAGAAAACAGCACAGGATTGGAAAGCGACCCACCGGGAACACGTAGTATTCATGAAGCCCTGGGTGTAACGTTGGGCCTGGGAGCCACAATCATCGCCACTAGAAACCAGGGTGAAAGATTAAATGTTGACGCTAGAACAGAGAGAATAAAGCTAGCTACTTTGTGTGTACTTGCTCCAGCAAGTCATTGCCACAACCGAGCTTCCCCAGTCATGCAGAGCTCAATTTCAGATTTCTCTGCTTCCACCGCTACAGCTTCATTTTCTAAGGTCAGACTTTGAGAGCTGCACTGTGTAACTTCTATAGCCCTTCACAGAGCCTCTAGCTTGTCACCTAACTCCTCCCAAGAAACAGCACAGACACAGTGTGAATAGGGTGGGGGCGATACATTTCCTGGCAAAGTAAAAGACACAGAGGTTAGTGTCAAGTTAAAGGCACACATCCAGGGCTCTTTTATTCTTGAGCCATAGAGTGTCTGTATGAGGTTGGGACAGGCTTTTACATCTCAGACTCACGTAGGAGATACACTTCTGGGTGTGTTTTCAGGGAGGCTTAGCTAAAGTCTACCACTCCACCTGCTTGGAATACTCTTATTCTTTCCCTTCTTTTATATTGCAGAAACTCATCCACAAATAATGGCTCATTCCTCAAAGAATCCAAACTTAGTGAGTGCTTACCTATGTGCCAACCACTATATGGTGAGCAACCCACATGAATTCTTATGTTTGATCCTCATAACAAACACAATTTTATTACTATCATTTACAAGCGAAAATATTGAGCCAGGAAAAATATACACATGGACATGCTGAAGCTCTAAGCCTCAGTCTCTCAGGCCGTGGCCATTTTTGCAATAGAGTGTTTAAAGAAGTGATTGTGTTAAAATAAGGCCATTAGTGTGGACTGCAATCCAGTCCTACTAGTGTACTTAAGAAGAGGACATTTACACACACACACACACACACAGGTACCAGGAGCTCACACATTGGAAAAGAAGAGCATGTGAGACACCATTAGAAGAAGTCATCCTTGGGAAAAATAAAACCTGCCAACAGCTTGCTCTCAAACTTTTAACCTCCAGAATTGTGAGAAAATAAATTTTTGTTGTTTAAGTTACTGTGTCTGCAGTATTTTGTTAGGGCACCCCAGACAAGCTAATACAGTGGATAACCATGGGGTAACAGTAAAGGGCTGGAATAAAGGGTCTATTAGATAATTTGGGCTTTGGAGGGAGTAAATTGGAGGGAGGTCTAAGGAAAGTGGGGGTTTGTTCCATGTTGAATGCCATCATAAGGGAAGGGAAATGTATAATATGCCATTTTAATAAGTTATCTATACAGAGGTCAGACTAAAGTGGGAATAAGGCTATGGGTGGCACAGTGACCTTTTTGTCTGTGCTTAGACAACACTATGAAGTGGCCTTGTTTTGTCTCTTTTTGTTGTGTTCTCAGAGGAACTTCATCTAATGTTGCTATTTTTTAAAGATTGTTTTGTCCAGCAGAAAACCATGGCTTGCCTATGAGTGCCAGGAGCAAGCTGGGCCTGGTGGCACAAGCCTGTGATCTCAACACTCGGGAGGCTATGGGGAGGAAGATCAAAAGTTGAAGACCCGCTTCAGCTACAGTATTAGTTCAGCAATGGCTCGGGAAAATTATTGAGGCCCTGTCTCAAAATTAAAAAAAAAAAAAAAAAAAAGAACCTAAAAGGAATGTTTGGGATGTAGGTCAGTGGTAGAGTGTGTGCCTCACATGTACAGAACCCTAGGCTCAATCAATCCCCAGTACCAAAAAATAAAAATAAAAAAGATGTTAGGGGCTACTTTTGCTTCTTCCTCACTTGTGACATCTTACACCATCCATTAGCTATCTGACTTTAAGCAAGTTCTTTTTATCTCTCTGTGCCTCGATTTCTTCATTTGTGATTGAGGAAAAAAAGTAAATCTTAGGTTGTTATGGGAGTTGAATGATTGAATACAATCATAGGATACAGTTAGTCATATATTATCTACTATACATTTTTTTTTCGAGACAGAGTTTCTCTGTGTAGCTTTGAGCCTTTCCTGGATCTCACTCTGTAGACCAGGCTGGCCTCGAACTCACAAATATCCACCTGCCTCTGCCTCCTGAGTGATGGGATTAAAGGTGTGCGCCACCACCGCCCGGCTATCTACTATACATTTGTATTATAAATTTATATATAAATACATATTCTAAGGGCTACATATTCTTTAGAAAAATGCTTGGCACATAGCCAGCCTATATTAAATGTGAGCTATTTTCTATGTCTATTTTCTCAAACAGATAATCATAGCATGAATTACATTATTACACTTCTGTATCGGTACTTTCTTCTGTGATAGGCTGTGAACTCTTTGAGAACAGGGAAACTGTGTATCGCTCTATTAATAAGAGCTAATGATGATGGTTAATTTTGATTGTCAACTTGACTGGATTTAGAATCATGTAGGACACGCATGTGTGGATATTTCTATAAGTGTATTCCAAATGAGTTTCACTGAGAAAGAGACCCACTCTAAATGTGGACAGCACCATACCATGGCCTGGAGTCTCAGGCAGAATAAAAATGGAAAAGGGGAGTAGGGCACCAACATTCATCTCTCTCTCTCTCTCTGCTTCCTAACTATAGACACAATGTGACCTCATAATCTTTTCCCTGTCTTCCACAGAGTGATGAAGAGTATCCCCTTAAAATTGAGACAATCTTCTTTCGCTAAGTTTTTTTTTTGTTTTTTTTTGTTTTATTTGTTTTTGCTTTGGTAAGGTATTTGGTCACAGTGATGAGAAAAGCAACTAATATGCTAATTTTTGCTTCATAGTTTCAATGATGTTGGAATTGATTTAAGTATTACTCCAAGCAAACTTATGCGACCCAATCCCTATCTATAGAATAGCCTGGGTATCCTCCTATGGGCCCCTATAGCATCTGTGTTTACCTTAATCTGCACACTTACATAGGATGTTAATACTGCTTATGTTTCTCCCTTTCTAAACTGTTCCTTTTTGGAGAGGAGAGCAAGCACTTTCATCTTCAATGCTCATGTCTTAAATACAGTGCCCAGCACAACAGAAATATTAAATATAAAGATACTGTGTGAATTTTCACCATGTTCTTTGCTTTGCCTACAATGGAACTCACAGCAGGCCAGTCTTTGCACCATTCATCCCTCTCCCTGGTTTTTTTTTTTTAACTGAAGAGGTGATGTATCCAGTCCCGCCTGGGCCCACAGCCACTCAGACCCAAGTAAACACACAGAGACTTATATTACTTATAAACTATATGGCAGGCTTCTTGCTATCTAGTTCTTTTTTTTTTTTAATGACGAATGCCATTTATTGAAGGAGGGAAGAGGTCTTAAATACAGGCTTACAGCACAATGGGAGTACCCCGGAGGGCAGAAGTTCACTACTGATGTTTTACAATCTTGCATTTAAGCTGGTAATGCCCATTATGCAGGATCCACAGACAAGGAACTTCCCTTAAGCATTCAGGAGGGTGGAACCCGGCAGGGAATTAGCATAGGGGGGATATCAAGGTCAAGGTCAGCAAGCAAGGCAACTATCTAGTT